CCCGGCGCCGCGCTGCCAAAGCGGTCGGGACGGTGCCCTCCCCCCTGCCTCCGCGAGGGGATCGGGCGGGAGGGAAGGGTCGGCCACGCGCAGAGGGGGGGTATTGCCATGGGGGAAGCGGGTCCTGTTCTTTTGTCGCCGTTTTTGGGCTCTCGTGGCCCTCCACGGGCCCCAGGGTCCAGGACTCATCTCCCTCGGGACCCGTTACCCCCAGGCCAAGGGTAATAAGGGGGAGTAAGGCTTCTTCTTCTTTTTCGAAGCACTCCTGTTTCTTCGAAGGCGTGGGAATTCTTTACAGATGCAAGGCTGGCGCCTTCTAAGAAGCAGCCTCCGTCTACGAAGCCCTCCCCCCTCCCCCTGCCCCGTCTGCGCGCCGCGCCAAAAGTGGGCAGGGACGGACGAGAGGAGGCTCTCGTCGCCCCCGGTGGATTCGCCTCGAAACTCGGGCCAGGGCGCACCCCAGGAGAGGTCCGGGGAGTAGCGGTATCGGTACCTCTCTAGGTTTTCCCCAGGCGGGGCGGGCACCGGACGGTTTGAGATCATCGACCGTTTTCGTCAGCTCTCGGCGGCTTTTCAGCTGTTCCAGCAGCTGCGCCTCGCCGAGAGCGTTCCGGGGGTGCCCGAATCGTCCCGAACGGTTGCCGGAGCTGTGACCCGAAAGCGGTTGGAGGACCCGGACTTCCAACGTATTTGGAAGAAAAATCAGGACGGCGGTTTTTCTAAATGTTCTGCTTCTGGGGGCTTTCGCTAGGACTGTCGAAAACGACTTGGGAGTATACAGTGGCCTTGGGGAAAGGCTCGGGGCTTCTGGGGACCGCGTGTTGACATCGGATGCTTGGGGATGGAGAATGGATGGAGGGAAGGGACGAAGAACGAGGAGGCGAGGAAGAAAGAAGACGGAGGGGGGAGGAAGAGGGAGGATGGAGGGGGGAAGGAAGAGGGATGAGGGAGGATAAGGAGGACGAGTAGGAGGGAGGAAGGAATGAAGAGGGAGGAGGGACCCCAGGCCCCAGGGGCGGATGAGAAGGGCGGATTAAGGTTGGAAGAGCAGGACGAGGGAGGAAAGAGGGCGGAGGGAGGGAGACGCCCCGATTCCAGATCCCAGGAGGCCCCTGGAGGCACCCAGAGGATCCGGCCCAATAGCGGCCAGGGGCGTTCAAGCATTGCTACCACCGCGAGCGACGAACATCTCCAGATCCATGCCCTCGAAGTGTGGACAATTGCCGAGGCGCGATCCCACGGGTGCGCAAGTTCATGGACACGGGCCGCGCAGGGCACCTCCGCAGAGCCGCCCCCTATTCGTGGAGCGGCGGCCGAGCAGTCCGCACTGGGAGGCTGTCGGTGATGGATGTGTCTCCCGCCCACGGTGCCCTCGGTACGGTAGGTTCGTGTCGTGTCGACCAGCGGCGACCCCGCCGCCGGAGTTCAATGTTGAACGCCGACGGCGATCCAGAATCGATCGATGTTCAACGATGTGGCGTTTCGGAAACGGCCGATCATTCAAGGTTGAACGATTCCCGCGGTGTCAAAAACCATCGCCTGGGTCGACACGACGCAAACCTGCGGTATCGTTGAACCGGTCCCCATCCCCATCCCTCTCGAGACCCCCACCCACTTACACCCCAGTTGGGGATGCACCCCTCGAAACCCAAAGGGAGCGACCTATATCCCCATCTGGGGGGGTAAATCAGCCAGTGGGGCCCAGGCCACGCCTCTGGGGATGGGGATCGGTTCAACGATACTCAATACCCGAGATCGATCAAGACGATGATTTAAGCAATATCGTTTGCAAGTGCGTCTCGACCCCCCGCCTTATCCCTCTCGTTCTGGGAACCAGGGGGGGCTGGTTGCGACAGCAGAGGTGGTCGACCGTGCTCTCGACGCCTGGCGCGCGCAGCCCAGTAACAGCGGGAGGAGAGCGGGCGAGCTTTTTTGGTCGGACGCTCAGCGCGGTCAGAGGGGCAAGTTGGGCAACGGAGTCGCGAATTGGGAGCGAAACGGAAGAGCAAAGAGGAGAACGGCCGCGGAGGAAGGAGAGTGGCGGGGACGTGCGCTCAGACCAGAAGCGGGCCGGAAATGCCCCAGACCGCTTCCGTTCGGAAGCGAAGCGTCCAGAGCGATCGCTCTCAGAACGCTGCGTGTTGGCCGACCCCCGATGATTTTCCTTGTAGCCTGTGGGCCACCCTGGCGCCAGAAAGGTTTCGATGCCCCTGGGCCCCTCAGGAGGGTCGCAGACGATTTCTCGCGCCTAATACAAGAGTTTTCCTCTGAGAAAACTGGCCACTCGGAAAGGAAGGAGAAGTCGGGGCCTACTCGGAGGATAGATGCGTTTCCTTAGTATACCCCCGAGTTGGGCCCCAGATTTCTGGCCCAGACGAAAACCGCACACACAGAGTCTCCGATTGGGTTGGCCATGCACCCCGTTGCAGGGCTCTTCCTCTAGCGCCCCTGGTGCGCCAGAGTAAAACAGCACGTTGGTATACAGTAGATACATATATAACTATACACATGCACATAATTATTGTTGGGCGCGTGTGTATGCACATGTGCGTACATACGTATACAAACACGTACATATGTACATTTGTGCCTTGGTAGCTATCACGAACAATTCGTGCATCAGGGTCGCGTGCGGGGACGAACCAGGGCCCCGCTTCCCCGTGGGAGAGATCCTCTGTGGCAATACCTCGGCTGCTGTAGTCTATGGTGGCCGGCGGCTGTTTTTCTGGCAGCACGCCCGTCGACCTCGAGAGACGGTCAGCTGTTGCGTTTTCGTCCCCCCCCTCTCGAGCTTTGTCATTATTCCTGTCATTCCTGCCCTCGCCCTTGTCCTCTTCATTATCCCCCCTCTTCGCTCTCCTCCTCATCCGCCTCCGCGTCGTCATCCTCCCCCTCCTTCTCCTCCTCTTCCTCCTCCTCCTCATTCTCCCTGGGCTGTCATGGAGGAAGATACGATCACGGTGGGGAAGGCGGCGTTCGAACGCATGGCGGGGGCGACGGGGACGAACCTGCATCTGAGCCGTTCTATGGAGAGCAGGACGCCTGAGCTCGCGAACGCCGAAGCTGCGGTCTTCGTGGAGGTGAGCGGGATCGCGGAGCTCGAGACGAAGGCGTGCAGGATCGAGCAGGAACCCCAGGATCTTTCGGCAGCAGGGATGAATTGAGAGCTCGGTGCGGACATCGAGCATGGGCAGCGAAGTGGCACACTGGAGTTGTTGCGAAGAGCTCCGAGACAGATGCGGCCGCGATCGTTCGATGTTGCGGCGATGAACAGGGGTACGTAAGCGAGGATTACGGAGGCTTCGTCAAGTGGTTCGAGTCGGCCTGTCAAGTATGTTCGGACGAGCTTTGGTCCGAGTGGTGTCTATACTATGAGACCTGGCGGGCCTGATGAATGCAGACGGTGGACGAGTGGATGTCTTCGACCAGTTTTGGCACCGGCGCGAATTTGTCATTTCGAGCACGCCTTAAAGGAACACGATCAGTGGCATTTGGGTGTTGTTATAGATGTCAGACTTGCGCGCGCAAATCAAATTTACAGAATGCATTTCCGACGGCGAAAGGGGACTTGAGGTTCAGAAATGATGCCATTGTGGCGCCCCCAATGCAATGACAAGGCCCGAAGGGTTCAAGTTGGCACAGCGCCAGTGTGAATGCTATCCAGTTCGAGTGGGTAGGAGAATCACTCTCTTCGGCTCCGCTTCAGGGCCTCATGATGTTCCAGCTTGTGCCCGTGCAGCTGTCTTCGGCTGGCTGAACAATCGCAGGTTCCGTGCCTTCAGGAGTGCCATGGGTGCCGTGCGGACTTGCGTGCACTGCTGGCTGACCTGCGCAACCACCGAGGTTTGGGCACCTTTGTTCCTTCTGGATCGGACTGCCGTTGGTTATGCGATGCTCGTTCAAGGTATGTGTGTAAGCATATATCGAGGTACCGCCATCGTGTTGTGGATGGTGGTAAGAGCCACGTTCTCATTTGAAAGGTGGTGAAGGATGCACGGGTATATGTGATGTTCATATAAGCCCTGGGCTGATTCATGCTCCGAAAAATGGGCTGATTCGTGGGATCCGTGCTCGCGTGCTCCCTACACATCTAAGTGCTACTCGTGTCCATGGCGGCTTCAATAGCGCCGCCCCGGGGGATTCGAATTTTTTCTCGAGGGAGGAGGTGGCCACTGCCGAGGCCGACGCGGCCTGGAGTTACGGTCGAGCAGACGATTGAGAAACCTCCCCTCGAACAGTTGGGCCAGCGTTTCCAAGCCAACTCGCGGGGAAGTGGGCCCAGTTACTCGAGCGTGGTCGCCCCCCCTCCCCACCCCCCCACGCACGCACGCACTCGCAGCGCTAATGGCAGAAATTGCTCTGAACTCGTTCCAGGAGGCTTCCGGGAAGCTGGCCCAGATTTCTTCGATTACATTTTTCCTCATCATATCGTCGGCTGCATTTGCGCGACGCTTTTCCCATCCAGTGCGAGCTTGCCCGGCTGCGCCCGAGTTTCGCGGCGGAGCAAGGTGGTTTTCTTGCCCCAATCAGCTGACCCGAAAGAGCCAACGCTTCTATCGACCCATGTCAGTTCTGAGATGCCGAGCCGTTCTCGGTCGCGATCTGGCCCGTCGCCGATGCAGCGAGGCCGTGCGAACGTGCTCCAGTGCGCGCGCAGTTTGACGATTGGGCGAGGGGGTCCTCTCCGAGAATTCCGGGTTTGATCGTTTATTTGGAATGCGTTTTCTGAGCATTTCTCGTGGTTTCTGGAAGGAGGTTCCTGGAATTACGTCGGCTTGAGAAGCTGAAATCGATGTAAAAGGCGATCCGGAGCCGCCAGTCCCAGTGAGGCTGGGGCCGCAGTTGCAGTGCCCGGGTCAAGGTATCTCGGTCTTGTGCCGTCTTTTTGCGCCACGAGCCAGCGCGGCCAGTTTGCGACCAGCAAGGCTTCGCTGGTGTTCGAGGGGGTTCGGGGATGCACTGGCGCGGCGGTCTGATCTTGGATAGATCGTCGCGAGCCAATGGGCCGGACGAGGGGGCTGTTTACTTCTGCCGCGAGGGCCGAGATTCCGCTTGTTCTTTCGCCGCAGCTTCCCGAGGAGTTCACGGCCCAGAAGGTTCAGCAGTTGCAGAGATGAGTTCGGGTCTGGACGGCCGGGCCCGTTCTGGCGAGTCGCCTTTGCTGGGGCGGGCGCCCCAGATGATCCGGCCCTGGGCGCGCGGCGCCATGCTTCCGGCTGAGTATCGGGGGGGGGGGGGGGTCGCGAGGACAGACCGAGGGCTCTTAAAGAACGCGTGGGTTTCTTTTTGTTCGAAGGTTCGCGCAGCCGGCGCCCTGGGGCGTCGCGCGCCCTAGGCTTGCCCAGGGGATTCGGGGGGCCGTGGATTCCGATCCTGGCCCCGACGACGCCCCGTTTAGCGCGCGTGTATATCGGGGGGGCATCGGCGCAGGGAAGTGCGGTCTCAAATTTCAAGTTTGCAGCGAGCTCCTCGAGGGGCCGTGGTCGGCGACGCCATTGATCAGCGCAGAGTGGGCGGCTGCTGTCTCCAGGGGAGGCGCGCCAGAGTGCGTCGACGATCTGAGTGAAGTGAAGCCCGCGCAGAGGTTCGGCCCGCGCGTCCGGGGAACGCAGGTGGCGATCTTTTCGGCGTGGATCCCTCGAAGCCTGCTCTTGCGCTCGGGGATGCCATCGTCGGCGTGACCGACGCGGAGCTGAAGCGCGCGCAGTGTGCTCCTCTCTTTCCAGGCCCCGAGGCGCGCTGGCATTTCCACCCGCGCGAGGATTGCGCCTGCGGGGGGCCCGCTCTGGAGGGGCACGGTCGCGCCCGCCATCGCCTGGGCCCAGGCCCCGCGGCATTCCATCGCCAAGCCTGAGCGTGCCGCTTTTTCGTTCAAGGACTTGTGCAGCATGTGGAGGGAGGTCAAGAGGGAAGGACTCTCTTGGGTCAAACCGACAGCCCCCATCAGACAAGACAGAACGACACTCGAGCGAATAGGTTGGAAGGCTGTTTCGCCTCTGGACTGGGTCGACGATGAACAGGTGGAGCACAGTTTAGCGCGACCCCCCCCCCCACCATGGTGGCTTCTCTTTTGCAGCGAGGTGTCCAGCGACACCATGGGCGGATTTTGGCGGCCAAACTTGGTTTGGGCCTTGGGGCCCGTGTTCGTGTCGAACCGATGCGGAAAATCGTTAAACCGCGTGCTACAGGGATCGGGCTGGGTGCCCGAGGTAAGTGCCCGGTCACATTTGTTGTTTTGCAAGGGCTGTGGACGGAGGGCCGCGCCCAGAAGGCAGGATACTTCTGTCTTGGCCACTGCCCTTTGCGTCAGGAGCCCGACTCTGTAGGGCGCCGCCTGTTCGAGCGCCAGCGCGCTGAGGTCGTCGCTGCGAGGGGGGGGGGGGGGGGGGGGGCGAATATTCCAGATGTTTTCTGCCGCGACGCATTGAGCAGCGACGGCGAGTACTTCGCGGGGCTCAAGATCGAGCACCCGAGTTCGCACTGGCCGAGCGTGAGCGATAACCGCGCGCCTGTGCTATATAATGATCAAAGGGGGGAGGTAGATTGGAATCCGATTGGAATCGGTTCGATTGTACTGGACTGTATCATGCGGGGGACGGGTCTTGTGTACCACACACGCGTTTTCGGAGTTGTCGCGGGCGGCGGACTCGCGGGTTTTTTTTGATGAGGAGGGCAACCAGCGTTTCGTAGCCCGTGGAGCTGCGTGGCCCTCGCTGCCGCAGACCAGTCAGGCTGTGGAGCAGCTGCAGAGGGTGCTACTACGCATCTTAGTGTCGCACTTTGGATTGCAATGTTTCAGTGCCTGTATGAATGCTGCGCGGGTGCACAACAAGAGCCCCGCGGAACATACCTCCCCAAAGCAGCGATGCGGAGGGTTAAGGCGAGGTGCCCTGATCCATATGGACGATGACCAGTTTGCCCCAGCTGTTCACACGCCTGCCCACAGGGGAGTTGGAGGATACCGAAATTTTCCGCAGCCCGAGCACAGGGTGGGACAGGCCAGCTGGAGGGCGGACCTCGAGGCCAAACGAGCGCTCGAGATCCGCGCGCGTCCCTCTGATGCCGAGAACCAGCAGCTAAGCCGTGGCATCCAACAGCTCGAGCTCGCTGCGCGTTTGCTGGCGGCAGGGCTGCCGCTCTCCCCTCGCGCCCCCCACCAGAGACCCCCTAGGCGCGTGTGGCCCGGTCCTCGCGAACGCCAAGTCTTGGCATGTCTGGGAGAGGTCCCTGCGGGGTTTAGGTGGGCGCAGCGTTCGGTCTTCTATGGGGGGTCATTCCAGGAGAGGCCTGAGCTAGGATGCGGGGGGGGGTCCCTGGGCGAGCGGCCGAGTTGTCAGTTTCTGCGCCTGAGTATGGCCGCGAGCTCGCGAGCGCACAAGTCGGCGACGAGGAACTCCCCTAGTTATTTTGCCTGGCGCGCGGGGCGCACTCGCAGCGCGCGATCAGAGGCCTGGCGGCACTTTGCAAGCCAAACAGTAAGATCAGCGGAGGGCAGGTCTTGTCTCGGTTGCGACGTGGCCCCCACCCGTTGCGGGGCGCATGTGTCTTGCGCGCCGAACCTGAAGAAGAGGTTGCGCGCGAAGAGGCAACTGTGGTCCTTGAGGTGGCTCGGCGGGGCGATGTTAAAGCCTCTGAGGCGGGGGATGGGGCCCCGCGCTCTGGGCGTGGATTTGTGCGCATTCGCCCCCTGAACGACGACGCGCCCTCGGCGGCCGCGACGCTGGCGGTCTGGCGCGGCGCCCTGGTCGAAAGGGTATCGGGGGGGGTCGCGCTGGATGTTCGGGTTGGTCTTCCGCGCATGACTCGCGGGCGGGTCTGGCGGGTGCTGGAGAAGATAGAGATTCCCGGAGCATCGCTCGCGCGTTGAAGTTTCGGCGCCGTTTCTGGTTTCCAGAATTTGCGGGCGTTGTTCTGGCACGTTTCCGGGTGCCTGGGCGGACGTTGTTCTGGCGCGTTTCTGGTCTCCAGAATTTGCCAGCTTCTCGTGAGAAGAGGGCGCCCAGCTTCAGGAACGACATTGGGTTATCGCAGGATCCTGCGGCGAGAACTCTCTGTCGCGCGCCCTGGCGCCCCCGTTCCAGCGCGCGCTGTTCTGCTGGCGGCATCTCTCGCGGGTCGAAGGGCCCGTTCGAGGCGGCCCCCGTTTGGATGGCGATCGCGCGCCCGTGCGGCGTGGCAGCCTGTCTGTATCTGATCATTAAGAGAACGCCAATTTCCTGTTGCCTGGTATCCTGGACATCGCGTTCGTGGTCAGTGCTACGGATTGGGCGTTGATTTCGGGCCCATTCAGATTCTCGCGCGCGGTAATCGAGGGATTCTCCTCCGTCGCGGGGGCGGGGAAATTAGCCAGTTGGATGGGGGGCGGGGGGCCCTTTTAAGTTTGCCCGTCGAGTTCGAGACGTTCGAGGGTTGGGGCCCGGGCATGTGGAGACGGCGCCGGTGTGCAGGTATGTTTGCTTCGCTGCTCGCGCAGTGCGTCGGCCAGTTCTTTGATACCCATGTGTATACATATATGATGTTCCAATCTATTTTAGCTTCGATCACCAGCAATAATTTCGAGCACCAAGACAGTTCCGAAAGTAGAGGTTTTCACGTTTCGGGCCTTGGGAGGCGATGCTTGTTCGACACTGTTTCGATACTTATCTGGGGGCTCGAAGTTATTTTTGGGGTGTGGTCTTCAACTGCGATGGGAGCATCAAAAATCTCTCTCTCTTTCTGTTTTCTTTCTTTTCTTTTTTTTGTTTCTCTCTCTCTCTCTATATATATATATACGGATGTATATGTATATGTATATATAAATATAGCCTGGAGGGCGAACGCCAGCAACTGCTTTCGAATTGACCTTGCCGCGAAGCGCCTCGGGGCGCCCCGGTCGATTTTTTGAGCAGGCTGGCATCGAGCACGCGGGGCGCCTCAGCCTCGACGCTCGCGCACGGCGGCGCGGTGCAGGGCTGCTACAGCGAGCGCGAAGTTCAGGGAGGCGGTCGGGGACAAGACAGCCATAACGAACAAATCGCGATGGTTCCCCCCCCAGATGCAGCCACAGCCGCGGCCAGGGCGAACGCAGCCGCACGCAGCCGCGGTGGCTGGAAAAAGAGAGCCACCGCGGAAAACTCGCGATAATTCCACCTTCCAGCCGCCCGCCAAATATCAAAATGAGACCGTTGTCGGTGACGAACACTCGTCTGCCAATCTTTTCTGCGATGTGCCCCCGGAAAGAGAATTCGCCTCAGTTGAACCGCCTTGGGCGCGGTTCCTGGAGCCCCTGAAGATATTGATAAGGCAGAATAACCAAGCCTTGGCACTGAGGAAGTTGCATGAGGTTCGCCCTGCTGCATTTGCGGGGCTAGGACTTCTGCTTCGAGTGAGATACTGTATCGGGCCCGAGAGGAGATGTAGCGAGGTTCCTACGGGGATGATCGTTAAGATGTGTAGGGCAGGCCAATGCGTTCCGAGTGTCGCAGTGCACCGTGTAGTGAGAAAATGTGCAATGCCTGAGGAGGAACCACCCGAATGTGCCATAGAAGTGTCTCGGGTGCGTTTTCAGGTGGGCTAAAGTAGGGGGCGATGTGCTAAATGATGCCAGACGTCCAGATTCTGACACTGTAGTTGTTGATTTGCTCCCACTCCTGAGCTGAATTTGTTGTTTCCTGGTGGTCTGGAATATCAGGTGTCCTGTGCCCTGGTTCTCGATCTTTTGCTTGACGCATATAACGTGTCGGGGGATTGGGGGAAGCCCGCCCCTGGCACGTGTTGGCACGATGGCGCAGCGTGGACCGGAGGTGCCCCGTCGGGAGCGCGGAGCCTGGTAGCATGTGGCAGGTGGAGTTGTGCCAGCGAGGGGCGGGCACCTTCGGGTTTACCCCGCAGATGCGGATAACTGAGAGTGAGGGGGCGGTGGGGGCGGTGGCAGTTTGCGAGACTCTGGAGAAGCCCGCCGCAGGCACCCAAATTTCTCAACTTATACAACGGGCCCGCCGCAGGTGCTGATTTTTTTCTTAAACCAATGTGGGTCGGTCGCGGGTGCTCGCGGGTGGGTCGTGGGTGGGTCGCGGGTGGGTCGCGGGTGGGTCGCGGGTGGGTCGCGGGTGGGTCGCAGGGTGGGTCGCGAGTGGGTCGCGGGTGGGTCGCGGGGTGGGTCGCGGGGTGGGTCGCTGGTGGATCGCGGGTGGGTCGCGCGTGGGTCGCGGGGTGGGTCGCGATGTGGGTCGCGGGTTAGGTCGCGGGGTGGGTCGTGGGGTGGGTCGCGATGTGGGTCGCGATGTGGGTCGCGGGGGGGACGACGACAACAAACAACGCAACAAGCAGAATCTTCACCACGGATCCCCTTTTCAGCCACGCACCCAGGGACAATGAATGACCGTTCGGCCCCCTCACTCAGGCAAAGCTCAACTGGACGGCGGTTCGAAAAAGGCGAACCGCGTGGAACCCATCCAAAAAACAAAGGCTCGAATCAGGCTTGAAATCGGTTCCAAACAATAGTGGTCGGGCTCCAAACGCAAAGTGGGCATCTCGTGCGGGACGTCCTTGAAAAGCATGTTCGCATCAGGTTCAAATTCGGTTCCAAACAATCGAACAATGGGCGTCTGGTGCGGGACTCCCTCGGACAGAAGGTGCGAAGCAGGTTCGAATTCGGCTCGGAAGAAAAGACAGGCGCGCGTCTCGTGCGTGATTCTCCCGAAAAGCATGGTCGAGCCAGGTCCGGGCTTTTTTCCGAACAATACCAAAGTGAGCGTTTCGTGCGGAATTCCCCTTCAAAGCAGGCTCGGACGAGGTTCGGACCTCGTACGGCACAATAGCAAATAACACTTTTCGTCCAGGATGGTTTTGTGTTCGTCTGCATCTTCGACATTCCATTGCATTTGCCTAAATGCGCCGCAGTGGCAAACCTTGAGCGATACTTGAATCACGCCCATATATACCCAGGCTGCTGAGCGCGAAAGCTAAAGACTTCGTCTCGAGGCACTGGCTGCAGGCAGGCTGGCCATGCTCTCAGGACGCGCGGGTATGGGATGAACGCGCCTCATGTGGACGATGCTCCCTAGCTGTCCTGACTGGTGACCTCTCCTCTCCCCCTTTCAGGCGCGGGTTCCTCATCCTCCTCTTCCTCCTCCTCCTCCTCCTCCTCCTCCTCCTCTTCCTCTTCCTCCTCCTTCTCTTCCTCCTCCTCCTCCTCCTCCTCCTCCTCCTCCTCCTCCTCGTCAACCTCCCTTTCCCTCTCTCCTCCTGCCCCCTTTGCCCACCTCTCCGAAACTTCCCCCCGAGTCTAGCTGGCGCACCATCGCTGCTGGTTCGCAGCGAGCCAGCGAACCGTTTGCTGTGAGCGACACCGGGTGCCGTATGTCACCCGCCGCAGATGGGGGTGCGCCGCCCCCGTCACCGCCCTTATCGAGGGCAAGCCTTGCCCGGAGAGGCCGCTGGTCGGCCGCTGCGCAGTTCGGGGGCAGGCTCGGTCCGGCATCTGTCTTGCTCAGCGTGCCGCTCCGCCAGCTCTGGCCCACCACGCTGCGGCGCAACATGATGGGCCTGTTTTCTTACCGTCACCACCATAAGTTGGAGGGGTGAAGGGGGAAGGAGGTGGAGGGTGAGGAGGAGGAGGAGGAAGAAGAGGGGGAGGGGGACCCCCCTCCCCCCTCCAACTTCTGGTGGTGGTGGCGGAAAGCAGGCCCACCACAACACGCCGACCACGCCCCGGTTTTCAAACGTTCGCGTCTCGAGTCTTCTGCCTCGGCGCCCCGCCCCCCGCGGGGCGGAGCGGCACGGCAGCCGCTCTCAAGGCGTAGCGCCTCGCCAGGGCCACCGCCGCGGCACGCTGAGCCGAGCGTCCTCACCCTGTAGTGCCAGTTTCGCCCACGGCGGGGTTGCGCGGGAAGCTTTTTTTCGTCGGCGGCGAGCCGGGGCGGTCCGCTCCAGCGTGGCAGCGATGCAGGGGCATTACAAGGCGAATTGGCGGGCATGCAGGAGGAGGGAGGAAGGGAGGGCGAGCACTCAGAGGCGGGAGACTGCGTTACGCGCGAAACACGTTCGAGGCTGATTTCTCCACCCCCACTTCTGGCCCTGCCCCACCTTGCCGCCTGCCCGAGTATGCATCATGTCGCTCCTCTTCCCCCCATGCCCGTTTCTCCCTTGCCTCCTACATCCCCTCTCCTTCTTCCCGCCCTCTCTTTGTCGTTCTCCGCCTCACGCTTCTCCTGGGTTCCCGTCCTTCATTTCTCATTCCTCCCTCCTTCGCCCTCCCTTTTCCTTGCTCCCCGCTCCCCCTCCCCCTCCTCCTCTTCCTCATCCTTTTCCTCCTCTTCCTCCTCCTCCTCCTCCATCCCGCTTCCTTTCTTCCCCTCCTTTTGTCGTCCCTCTTCCTCCTCCTCTCGCCCAAACCCTCCTCCTCCTCCTGCTCCTCCTCCACCTCCTCCGTCCCTCCCCCTCTCCCTCTGTCCTCCTCCTCCTCCTCCTCCTTCCCCTCCTTTCGGCCTCCCTCCTCCATGCCCCCTTCTTATAAACACACCCTTGTCGCACTACCAGGCGCGTATGCAGACCAGGCTGGACGTTTCGCATCAGACTTTCCGACTTGAGATGTTGGAAGCTAAATTTATCCGACAGCTACGAGGAGGGGGGGCCTGTGGATCGGCTATCGTCTTAGCGCCCCGCACCTTCGCTTAGAAGTATTCCAACGGCTACAATAATCGAGGGCAGGTCGTGTTCAGATTGCGGCGCCCTACTTAGAGCCGCGCGCATTCGGCGGTTGGTTCAACGTATGAAACACGTGTAACTAAGTCAAGAGGGCCAGTGGTTTTCAGAATGCGGCTCTGGATGTAGCGTGGCGTGCATTCGTTTGCAAAGCTTCCAGTTTGAAGGGTGGAGTTAGGGCTGGACCTAATCGCTGTTTCACTGGACTTCGGCTGTGCTTTGTTCCCCATATCCTAAGATGGGGTTCTTGTTATTACTTGGACGCCTCCTACTGCCTCTCCCTCCTCCTCTTTCCTCCTCCCCTCATCCTTTTTCCTCATACTCAGACCTACTCATACTCAGACTTACTCATACTCAGACTTACTCATACTCAGACCTACTCATACTCAGACTTACTCACACTCAGACATACTCATACACATACTTACTCATACACAGACTTACTCACACCCAGACGTACTCATACACAGACTTACTCATACCATACTTACTCATACACAGTATTACTCATACTCAGACTTCCTCATACCCAGGCGTACACATACACAGACTGTCTCATACACAGGCCTACTCATACCCAGACTTACTCATACACAGACTTACTCATACACAGACTTACTCATACTCAGGCATACTCATACTCAGACCTACTCATATGCAGACTTACTCAACACACATCAGATGTGGAGGATGTCTCAAGCGGGGCGCTGGTTTCAGCACCCCTAAGGGGAGCCGCCAGGGGTGGTTGCACGGGCTCGTTCGCGGCCATTTTGTGGGGATGTCTCAGGCGGTTTGCTTGTTTCTGGGCTCAACATCCTTCGCTTGGAGAGCAGATTGTGAGGATGTCTCAGGCGGGGCGCTGGTTTCAGCACCCCTAAGGGGAGCCGCCAGGGGTGGTTGCACGGGCTCGTTCGCGGCCATTTTGCGGGGATGTCTCAGCGGTTTGCTTGTTTCTGGGCTCAACATCCTTCGCTTGGGGAGCAGATTGTGAGGATGTCTCAAGCGGGGCGCTGGTTTCAGCACCCCAAAGGGGAGCCGCCAGGGGTGGTTGCACGGGCTCGTTCGCGGCCATTTGTGGGGATGTCTCAGGCGGTTTGCTTGTTTCTGGGCTCAGCATCCTTCGCTTGGAGAGCAGATTGTGAGGATGTCTCAAGCGGGGCGCTGGTTTCAGCACCCCTAAGGGGAGGCGCCAGGGGTGGTTGCACGGGCTCGTTCGCGGCCACTTTGTGGGGAAGTCTCAAGCGGTTTGCCTGTTTCTGGGCTCAACATCCTTCGCTTGGAGAGCAGATTGTGAGGATGTCTCAGGCGGGGCGCTGGTTTCAGCACCCCTAAGGGGAGGCGCCAGGGGTGGTTGCACGGGCTCGTTCGCGGCCATTTTGCAGGGATGTCTCAGGCGGTTTGCTTGTTTCTGGGCTCGACATCCTTCGCTTGGAGAGCAGATTGTGAGGATGTCTCAGGCGGGGCGCTGGTTTCAGCACCCCTAAGGGGAGCCGCCAGGGGTGGTTGCGGATGTCTCAGGCGGTTTGCTTGTTTCTGGGCTCGACATCCTTCGCTTGGAGAGCAGATTGTGAGGATGTCTCAGGCGGGGCGCTGGGTTCAGCACCCCTAAGGGGAGCCGCCAGGGGTGGTTGCACGGGCTCGTTCGCGGTCAGTTTGTGGGGATGTCTCAGGCGGTTTGCTCGTCAAACATCTATCATAGATAAATGCTCACCGTGGCATTACCCTCCAACATGACATGCACTTATTGCTTTGTGTGGCTAAACGCTCGTCTTACATATCCCACTGCCAACTATCCTAAAACATACGCACATATGGGAAACTCCAAAGCTACCACGGGCTGACAAGGGGAAGGTCTGGCAGCTGAGGAGGGGGGATGAAGAGGAAGAGGCTCGCATTCAACCATACTCAAAGCTCACTCTGACTCATACGCAATCACTCGCATTAGGGGTCACTCGTCTTCGTCGGCCCTGTCGCCCACGTGGGCGCGCTATTGTAGTCGACCGCTCATGAACAGACGCTCACCACGGCATGACATAAAACATGAGATGCACATATGGGGAGCTCAACGCAGTGAGTAATTTTTCGTTGTGGCAGGGATGTACAGGAAAACATGTAGAGCAAAACGAACTTCACGAAAAACAGCGTTTAGGCCCAGCCCTGGATGGAGTCCTGTTCCTCTTCGCAATGCGGCTCTCGCCGGAGACCGGCCCAATCGGCTACACGTAGGACTGATACTTCGCCGGAGTGACTCTTGGTGCGGGCGCACGGAGGTCCCCCGATCCCTGACTGCGACGCGACAGCAGCAGCTTGCGCGCTTGTGTTTGCCTCTCCTTCCCACGCCCAAAATCCGAGCAAGAAGGTCACTGATGTCTATACGGCGAGGGCATTGGATAAGGAACCATTGGATAAGGACTCCAGAGTCTGGACGGTGGTGAAGCACAAGTTAAGGCCTGGCCATGGATCTCACCGCGGCCCTCATAAGATAAGGAATCCTCCAAGGTCTGAAGCCTCCTGGGCGCATTCCTTAACGAACGCCTCCACCGCAGTCATTCCTGCGTGCAGCCAGTTCAATTTCTGTGGCCCGAAGTTCCACATCGTGCAGCAGTTACACGTGTATGGAGGAGGGGTTCTTTTCAACATGAAGCTTTCGCTGGAGGCCTCCCCAACTCGCACGGCCAGAACATTAGAATTGTGCAATAGGCGCCAGGATGGAGGGCAGACCATTTTCAGAACGGGACTCTGGCTTGACACTTTTGTAGACCGTATCCGGGTCACCTGTGTGCGTCCTTTCTAGTAGAAGGACGGCGGGTGGATCCTTTTCAGCACAGGGGCTCGCTTGAGTGGCAGACCTAGCGGCGGACTCTCGTCATTTTTGTGGGGCGTTTCCCGCAGCAGAGGAAGATACTTGCAGACACTTCCGAGGAAGGAACTTGGGACGGGAGGGTGTGTTGCATCATCATCGATGCACTCTGGGTTTACCCTGATCCTCCTCCTCCTCCTCCCTCCTCTCTTCTTTCCCCGCCCTCAGGCCCCCTACGACCCTATTCGATGCGATTCGATTTGCTGGCTGGGCCCGCCATCCCGAGTCGATTCGATTCGATTCACCGGCGTCGGCCTGGGCCAGCCGGAGCCAGGCTCGGCTATCTGAGTTAGGATCGATTCGGAACGATTCGCTGGTGATCCAACCCGTTCCTGAGCCGATCCGATTTCGCGATTCGCTCCACTTCAGGCCCGCCTTCCCTCCTTCCTTTTCCCTCCCCGCCTCCTCCCGCATCCCCATCCCCCGTGCGAGGCCCCCATGGGTGCTATAAGGTCGAGCCCGGAGAAGCCGCTGGTCGGCTGCTGTGGGACGCGGGGGAATGCGCACATTCTCTGCCGCAACGACCGGCTCAATGCGTGCCCTGGGCGGGGACGAGGGGGAGGACGGCAAGAAGGAAAGAACGCAGTCGTCGGCAGTAGGCAGGAAGGAGGGCGTGTGGCGCAGTGCAGTCAGCATCCGTTGCCCAGGCGTTTGCTGTAGAATGGGCCCTGGCAACGTGGCGGGGGTCGGCCCTTTCACTCTTTCCATCCCTGGGCAGTTTCCCTCTAGCTTTCCCAGCCCTGGGGATCTCATCCGAAATGTTCAGCCCTGTCCACGTCCACTTTCACAGTATTGCTAAATCAAGTGGTTTCTCATTTTCTTTGTTCTGTGCTTCGTCCAGGGCTGTTAAAGACTGGCGCGGGACGCCTGGGTATGAAGGGGGGGAACGGAAGAATAGAGAAAGCACCCTTCTGGGCTACGCCGCTGTACCACTGTTCGCCGCCCCTCGTCCTCGTTCTCCCCGCGCGCTTGCCCGATGCTGCACGTCGCGCTCGTGCGTTTGCTTCTTTGCCTGCACCAGCGCGCCGTCTGTGTTTGTCATGTGTGTGGCGCACGCGGCTCGGGCGCCACTGGTCCCGAGGTCCGGCGCCCGCCCAGCGCACACGCGAGCAGGATCAGGAGCGACAGAAGGACGTACACGTACATGAATCCACGCTAGTTTCGAGAGTACGCATTGCGCAAATGTTCGTATAACGCGGCCGGTCTCGCGGATCGAAGGGCCGTGTTCATGTACATAGCTGGGCGCGTACGTCCTTTGTTGGCTCCCTACAGGAGTAAGTCGAGGAGTGGGGTCGGAGAGGATCGGTCGGGTATAGCCAGGACCCCAGGTAAAGGGGACCCGGTCAGCAGCAGGGCCGCGGAGGGCCTAAATTGGCCAGAATCACTGAACCAGGGCTGCCGCAGCTGGTGTTTTTCGGGAGACGGCAGTTCCGGTCTGTGGAACGGGGCGGGGGGGGGCGTGCCCCAGTGCACATCGCTGCACCAGGTCCCACGAAACCCAGTTCTGCAACGCCCGAAGCGGGGCCAAGACCTCCCATCTTGTTGAAAGCAAGTTGCCAGCGTGGATCCCGGACGATGAGTGATTGCACTGTGGACGCGTCTGCTATGTGGAGCCCTCTATGTGGTACAAGCTACGTGGTGCAATTAATTTCTGTTCGCAGTGAGTTGTCCACTCCACTGCTCGCGCAAACATCCCACCCACCCACCCGCAACTTGGTTTGCAAAATCTCTTAAGACCGTGACGGTGGGTACCACATGGCACTTGGCAACAACAGCGACGCCGACGACGACAGCGACACCGACGATGACGACGCCGCCGACAACGACTACGACGACACCGACGACGTCTCCAACGACTTCGACGACGCCGACAACGACGACGACGACGACGACACCGACGACGACGACGACGACACCGACGCCGACGACGACGACGATGACAACGACGACGACGATGACGACGCCGACGACGACGATAACGACGACACCGACGACGACGACGACGTCAACGACGCCGACGACGACGACGACGACGACGGCGGCGACGACGACGACGCCGACGTCGACGACGACGAAGACGACAACGACGCCGACGCCGACGACGACGACGAAGACGACGACGACGTCGCCAACGAAGACAACGAGGAAGGAGGGAGGACGACGACGGCGACAACGACGACAACGACGAGGGAGGAGGGAGGACGGCGACGACGCGAACGACGAAAAAGGAGGAAGGACGGCGACGCCGACGACGGCAACGACGAGGGAGGAGGGAAGACGACGACGACGACAACGACGACGACGACGACGGCGACGAAATAGGAGGGACGACGACGAGACGCCGACGACGGACGACGACGACGACGAGGGAGGAGGAGGAAAGGACGACCACGGCGACAACGACGACGGAAACGACCACGACGCCAAAGAGGACGACGACGACGAACACGAGGAAAGACACAGGACGACGTAGGCGACGACGACGACGACAACGACGCGGGAGGAGGGAGGACGGCGACGACGACGACGGCGACGACGCAAGAGCGCGCGCGCACGCTTTTGTTGAGAACCCGTGTGGCGAAACCTTGTATGTTTGTAGGTTTTTTGGACACGATTTTGAAATCCTTCCGAAACCGATGGGTTTTGAAGGTTTTCGGCATACGCGCGCGACGACGCGCTCGTCTGCACTTCGTCTAATTTTTTGCACGGGATTCTCGCGACGGCACACGCGCAAGGGCGTTCGACAGATTTCGACATGCGCGCGCGCGAAGCCCGTTTGGTAGCATCTTGTGAAAATCTTGAAAAACCTATGGTTTTCTTAAGATTTCGCAAGCGCCTTCGCGGAAGCTTTTTTAGCAACTCTGTGTTGCGAAACCCTGTGTTTTTGTAAGTGCTTTTTTGTTGGAAACTCGATTGCGAAATCCTTCCCGCACCGAAGGTTTTTGAAGGATTTCGGCATGCGCGCGCGACGACGCGCGCGTGTGCACTTCGTTTCATTTTTTGCAAGGGATTCTTGAACAAGTGCTCTGTTAGAGCAAACAATGTCACCGCATAGTGTTTTTACCAGGGAACCTCAGGGGGTGGGAAACCGGCCTAGCTGGGATGGTATGATTTCATATTTAGGATGGGCGAGTGTGCAGAATATATATATATATATATATATGTGAAATCGTATTATCCCAGGGAGAACCGATAAGTCCGGGGGGGGGGGGGTAGAATCTATTCTCTTTTTAGAAAGGAGAATCTATGTAGTGCAACCGTGTGGTAGCAACTATGTGGTGCAAGCTGTGTGGTGCAGGCTGTGTTGTGCACTCTACGTTGTGAAATTTGCATCGTGCAATGTGTGTGGTGCAAAATATGCGGTCTAGGGTCTGTGGTGCACGCTATGTGGTGTGAGTTATATGGTGCAATTTGTGGGGTCCAAGCTACGTCGCGCAAACGTTGTGGTAAAAGCTACGTGGTACAATTGATTTCTGTTCGCAGTGAGTTGTCCACTCCACTGCTCGCGCAAACATCCCACCCACCCACAACTTGGTTTGCACAATCTCTTAAGACCGTGACGGTGGGTACCAAATTGCACTTGGCAGCGACGACGCCGCCGACAACGACTACAACGACACCAACGACGTCTCCAACGACTTCGACGACGCCGACAACGACAACAACGACGACGACGACACCGACGACGACGACGACACCGACGCAAACGACGACGACGACGATGACAACGACAACGACGACGCCAACACCGACGACGACGACGACAACAACGACACCGACGACGACGACGACGTCAACGATGCCGACGACGACGACGACGGCAGCGACGACGACGACGCCGACATCGACGACGACGAAGACGACGACGCCGACGCCGACGACGACGATGAAGATGACGACGACGTCGCCAACGAAGACGACGACGAGGGAGGAGGGAGGACGACGACGGCGACAACGACAACGACGACAACGCCGAGGGAGGAGGGAGGACGGCGACGACGCGAACGACGAAGAAGGAGGAAGGACGGCGACGCTGATGATGATAGCGACGAGGGAGGAGGGAAGACGATGATGATGATAACGACGAAACCTTGTGTTTTTGTAGGTTTTTTGGACACACGATTTTGAAATCCTTCCGGAACCGATGGGTTTGAAGGCTTTCGGCAGACGCGCGCGACGACGCGCGCGTCTGCACTTCGTCTAATTTTTTGCAGAGGGTTCTCGCGACGGCACACGCGCAAGGGCGTTCGACAGATGTCGACATGCGCGCGCGAAGCCCGTTTGATAGCATTTTGTGAAAATCTTGAAACACCTAGGGTTTTCTTAAGATGTCGCAAGAGCTCGCGCGTAAGCTGTTTTAGCAATTCAATGTTGCAAAACCATGTGTTGTTGTATGTTGTTGGGCAGCTTGATTGCGAAATCTTTCCGGCACCGAAGGTTTTTGAAGGATTTCCGCATGCGCGCGCGACGACGCGCGCGTGTGCACTTCGTTTCATTGTTTTGGCAAGGAATTGGTGAAACACTGCTATGTTAGAACAAAACATGTCACCGTATAGTGTTTTTATAAGGGAACCTCCGGAGGGGGGATACGGGTTAGCCTGGGGCAGTGCGATTTCATATTCAGGATGGACATATGGTCATAATCGTCTATGATTTACATACCTGAAAAGGGGGGGCGATACCTCCGGGGGGGGTCGAGTCTATCTTCTTTTTAGAAGGGAGAATTGACCATGATGCACCGCGCCTGATCACCTCTCACGCTTGTGCTAACATCCCACCCTTTTACCCGCATCTTGGTAGGCAGAACTCAGAAGGTCGTGACTGCACTTGCAGCGTGGCTCGTCCGCAAATTGCATCGAGCTCACTAGCACGCGGACCCCCGTGGCGCGGGCAAAGTCCATCTCTCGGGTGACAGCGCGGACGACATCGTCGACAAGCGACGGTGAGGTGGTTGGCAGAACTCATAAGGTCGCGAGTTTAGTTGCAGCGGGGAGTTCCCCCGATCAGTTCATCGTGTCCATTGGCGCGAGGACGCTTGTCGCGCGGGCAAGGTACATCGCGCGGGAGACAGCGCGGACGACGGCGTCGACAAACGACGATGAGAATTGTCACGGCGCTTCCGACGGCAATGATGACGATGACGGTGCCCCGCATGATGATGATGACGAGTCCGCAAGAGCGCGCGGGATGAAATGTTGAAAACTTTCTTGTTGAACAACCAATATGTTCTTGATGCTTCCCCGCTGAAGCCGCAACGACAACATAGGTGCTATGGTGTGACAGGGATGAGGGACCGCATGTGTTATGGTGACGACATCATAGCGCATGTGCACCGCCTCGTATTCTGTGACAGGGATGAGGGGGGACCCGATACTGGAACTAGTTGGGATGGTACGAGATCACATGGAAAGTGAAGAAGGAGGCGTAATCATACCTAAATTGCAGTACCCCAGAGGGGGGATGGTAATTAATCCGGGGGTCTCGAATCTGATACGCTTTAAGAAAGGAGAATTATTGCGAAGGTCAGACGCCAGCGCCGCCGACCTTGAAGGGGGACGACGACAACGACGACGACGCCGACGACGGCGACGACGCCGACGAGGACGACGACGAGACGCTGACGTGGGTCAAAGTCACCAGGGGCTCTGTTTGGAGTCTTTTCGGAACGCTTTCGGAAGCCCATCGGGGACATCTTGTAAGCCTCTTGGGGGCCTCTTGGGGCATCCTGGGGGCCCCTTGGGGGCCTCTTGGGGCATCCTGGGAGCCTTTCGGTGCGGAGGACTCGACACGTCCGTTTGGTTCCCCTGTCAGGGCAGCCTCTTGGGACCCACGTGGGGCTCTTTTGGGCAGTTTTGCAGGCGTCTTGGGCCGTTTCGATGCCCTCTTTACCCCGTTTAGGGGCCCTCTTGGGGGCTTGCTGGGGCGATCGTTGGAGCTTCTGGGCCGTTTCGGAACGTCTGGAAGCTGAAAAGGCGAGGACGCCCAAATCAGTGAAAAACCTTAGGAATATCAATGAATGTTGCCTTTTTGGGCTCTCTTGGGGGTGCTCTTCGAGGTCTCTTGGGGCGTCTTCCAGCTCCCTCAGGCCGTCTGGAGGCCATATATACGTTTTGGACAGATCGTCTGGAGATTCGGGGTCTTCTTGGACCGATTTGGGGGCTTTTTGGGGCGCTCTTGGCTCGTCTTATAGTTTTTGGGGGCCCGAGGCCCCCGCAAGGGGGGGTGGCATTCTGTCCTGGGACCCAGTCCCCCCGGGACCCCCCCCCGCTCCCGGCGGGGAGGAGATCAAAGGGAACAGGTTCCTGTTCGACTCAACTACGACTTTGCTGAGTTTCGCTGTGGGTGAGTTGATTGAGGAAAAGGACGCGGTGAAAGAGGGGGGGTGGCGAAGGGCGCAGGGAAAGGGGAGGCGCGGAGGCGACGAGGACGACGACGACGACGAACGGCGGCGACGAGGACGACGACGACCACGATCACGACGACGACGACCACGACGACGACAACGACCACGACGACCACGACGAGTCAAACGGAACAGCGCATTCCACATCCCGACAGGGTCGGCGGATAATCATCCTACATTCATTCGCAGCTTGGTTTGCAAAACCCATGCGGCGGCGGTTGCGACAACTGCTTGGCCGTTGCTGGCGCATCTCTGCGACCGCGCCAGCGCGCACAAGCTCGCGCGCAGAGCGGCCAGATGGTTTGGTACAGCCGATGCGGCCGCGATGGCGCTTAACGATGGCAACGGACAACATTGCAGCGAGTGTCGAAGGCCGCGCTGGCGCGCAGGCGAGTCAATGCGGGTTGGTGGCTCGGGCAGGCTTGGTCTGATGATGACGTCGGAAACAGTTACAACGACAATGCTATTAACGATAGTGTTGACGATAGTGACTATGACGACGGCAAGGGACATCACGGCGCCGATTCTGTCCATGTTGGTCATGGTGATGATGTCCATGTGTCGATGACGAAGGTGTTTCCCTGATGATGGCGGCAATTTCGGCGATTGGCGATGACGATGACAAGCTGCGGCGGCGCTGGTGAGGCGGATGGTGAGGAGTTGCGCGTGCGCGCTGCAATCCAAGAGTTCTGGCATTTTTTTGTTGAAGCTCACTTGTGTTTTAACGTTTCTTGTAGTGCTCAAGTTTGAAATGCTTCGCAAACCAACGCACCACGTAGTGGCATGATAATGCGGCTTCCGGGCGCAAGTGCGCAAGTGGTAAAACCCAGATGGTTGTCATATAGTTTCTGCAAATGCGCGCGGGCAGACATCTTGCAAGGATTGTGTTGCAAATTGTTGTTTGATGTTGAAATGTTTGCAGGGAGTGTTGTATGTCGACGTTTGGGATGTTTTGGAACAAGTGTGTTTGATATGATTTCGATTTGGGCGCGCTCGTGCTTATGTTGTGCATCTCTCGTTTGCAAAGGGCCTCTTGGACTTGATTGTTTGAGGTCAACAGTGCGAGGAGGGCGAGAAAAAGGGGACTGCCTGGGACGGTCTGATGTCATATTGGAGAAGAACGACGAGGTTCCACCGCATGTAAGTTGCCAGGGAGCGTGGTCGATAATCTTGGGGCGGGGGTCCCAGGGGTGGTCGCGAATATGCGGGGGAGGGCTACATCTTCGTAGAAAGGAGAGCCTACGTGGTGCAAGCTATACGGTGCACGCTGTGTGGTGCAACTTGTGTAGTGCAGCTATGCGGCGCAGTCTTTGTGGTGCGATCTGCATGCTGCATTCTACGTAGTGCCATCTATGGGGTGTACGCTATGTAGCTTAATTTATGTGTTGCAACCTATGTGGTGCAAGTTGTATGGTGCAGTATATGAAGAATTTGCGGTCGTTAGCCCCACCATCCACGCAAACATCCTAACCTCCCACTCGCATTTGGTTCAGCAGAAAGCAGGCGGCCGCGATTGCAGCGACACCATGGCACCGGGTGGCGCGTCGCTGCGGCCGCGCTGGCGCGTGTAAATTCGCGCGGTGCAGCCGCCAGGCGCTTGCCGGTGGGGGATCCCTAACTTGCCTCAAAGGCCGCGCTCAGCGCGGGCCGGTGATTCTGAAGGGCGCGATATCATCAGGACGTCGACGACGACGGCAGCGATGGTGGCAGTAGCGTTGGTGGTGATGATGATGGCAAGGCCAATGACTGCGCCGACGCTATTGACGACGATGGCGATGATCATCTCCATGTGCCAGGAAAGACGGTGTTTGATGGATGATGGGGGCAGTGGCGGCGATTGTCGGCGACGGTAATGACGGCGACGTGATGGTGCCGATGTGGGTGATGGTGGGGAAAGCACGCGCGGAGAAGCACTCGAGACATCGGGCAGCTGTTGTTACAAACCACATGGTGTCGCACAGGTTTCCGGCGAGTTGCATGTTGAAACGTTGAAAACCGATATTGTTTTACGCGCGCCAGCGCGCGTACGTGCGGGCCGCATGGTATCCGCTGATACGGAGCCGCGCTTTGGGCGCACGCTGGATTAGCGCAGATGTGCCGGGCGGTGCAGTGAGGCCGCGGGTCCTTGGCGGCATTGCTAAAACCATGTGGTTGTCGTATGACTTGTGCGCGCGGGCAGAACACATTTGCAAACGTTGCGACAAGACCCGATGGGGGCTCCGATATCGCATGTGGAGATGCTTACAGCACGTGTGTGCGATGGTCTGATTTTGAGACCCGCGCGCGCGTGTGGGCGTTGCGCTACTTTTGGTAACGCAGGATTTGTGAGCACGGATCCTTCCAACAAGCGGGCGCGCATTCTCTGAGTTGGCAGGGGTGAGGAGTGGGGTGGCAGTTGGCCTGGGTTGGTACGAGGTCGTATGGACAATGAGCGACGCGGCAGAAACGCACGACCCTTGCCTTGTTCGGGGGAGCGTAAGACCCGGGTTTGCCAGGACTCGGGTTCGCCATCGTTTTTTGACGACCGCGACTCGGATTTTGACGAGGAGGAGTTTTGTGGGATGTCTGCAGCGGGAGGCCTCGTCAAAATGCAGGCTCGGCCTCGTCATTTTTTTGACGACCTCGTCGGGGATTTCCGAGTCCCCCGTACCCGGGTCTTACGTCTCCCCGACTTGTCCCAAGGGGAATCGATAAACCTTGGGGGGGTAGAGGGTGGTGGAGTTCGCTCCCTTCCCGGCGAGAACGTGTGTGGTGCAGGCGGTCGGGGCGCCCACGACGCGCCCATGCACGGGCGGGCGCCAGCCGGAGCCTCGGAACTGCCCCGCCCGCGCGAGGCGCCCACGAGGCCCCCACGGGCTTCGGCGGCGGGCGAGGGGGGGAAGCGAGCAGGGACGGGCCCTCTCGCAGGGCTCGGACGTCCCCTCGGAGCTTCGGGGGTCCCGTTCATGAAGGCGCCCCGTCGACGAGGGGGGTCCGGAATGTTCGGTCGCATTTGGATGGGGGGGTCTGGTCTTTCAGGGGGGAGGGGAGGGGGCGGCGATGAGTCAGGGACTTCAAGCAGTGGGCTCTGAGAGCCTCTCCGTGGCAGGACTATGCGGGAGTGCCGGGACGGTCCGGTCCCTGCTGCAGGGAGACTGCGAGGTGCCCCCCCCGCAGCGCGGGGCGCCCGCGAGGCGGCCACGGGCGGGCCCCGGGCGAGGCCTCGGCGCACCCCGAAGGGCAGTTTTGCGGGGGGGGGGGGGGGGGGGGGGGCGCCCGCGGGCGGGGCGCCGGCCGAGGGCCCTGCAGAGGGCCCCCACCGACCTCTGGAGGGAGGTTTCGGAGTCGGGCCTGTCCCTCTACACGAGGGATGCTCAGCAATAGCCCCGAAATAGTATGGGGACGATGTGTGGACTCTTCTCGACCATTTGGGGAGCATGCTTTGCCTATTTTCTGATGTTTCGTTCAGAATTATTTCGTAGGGGGACATGCCTGACCGAAAGGAAGGTAAGCAAGGACCCGGAAGTGCAAGCACAGTCTGGGGAATCGAGACGAGGGGTTTTCGCAGTTCTCGGCCTTTGGGGGCCCTCGCCGGGCCCTGGGAGTGTCAAAGTACAGATCAGGACGGAGCACCAGCCCCAGGGAAAGGGTCAGAACTTCTAATTAGGGACCGCGAGTGGAAACAAACAAGATCTGCCAGCAGGTGCACCACGGACATGTATTACCCCCTGGTCTCAGGGACCCACAGAAGTTCTGGTGCCCCTAGAATCATTGTAGGAAGATTTCTTCTCAATGTGCCTACGGTAGGGGGGGGAGGGAAAGGCTCGGAGGGGGTCCCGGAGGCGTGCAAGTTGTGACAGCGATGGCTTTGCCGCCCAGCCCGAATCCGCCAAAGTCGGTTCCAGACCTCTCTCAGGATCCATCCTGGCCCGTGTTTCGAAGCGGATCCAGCCATGGCGACGAGAAGCTTCCAGGAGGCCGGAAAAGGGCACCACACTCCAGGGGGGGGGGGGGACGCTGTCTCGATTGGTCCACCTCCGAGTCAAGGAGGGAGGTGGGAGAGAAGAAGAGGGGACGAGAAGACGGGAAGGAGGAGGAGGAGGAGGAAGAGGAGGAGGAGGAGTGGGAGCAGGAAGAGGAGTGGGAGCAGGAAGAGGAGTAGGAGAGGGAAGAGAAGGAGGAGGAGGAAGAAGGGGAGGAGGGGGGCAGCAGCATTCGGCCTCCCGCAGCTCCTGGCTCGAGGCAGAGGGTTGGCGCAAGCCGCGCTCACGCGCAAGGTCCCAGATTTCCGACGTCGTGATTTTCTCGAAGCCTCCAGGCAAAGGCATCGCCTTCGAGGGATCGAGATGTTGACGTCCCTTCCGCGGCAGAAGGTAGGCGCACGCAGCGGAGTAAACCGAGGGCGACTCCGTGTGCGGAAGTGGGCAGACGGCCCAGCGGAAGCAAACATCGCTTTCCCAAGGGATGACATTTTGAGGGGTTCAGGCATTCGGGACCCGCCACATATGTACCCGCAGGGCTCTCGACCCCTCCCCAGAGCTTGCTTTCCATGATTTCTAACTTCTGGATGGTCCCACGGCCCGTGGCAGATCTTCAGAAGGCGGAGTCGAAGGACCCAGTAGCGATTTAGCAGAAAGCGTTGCGTCGGAGGTCTGGGGCCAGCCCGACGGGGGGGAAGCGGCGATGCTGCCGAACCCTGCCCCGCACCTCAAGCGGGCGCGGCAGAAGGCCCCTTCGTCGCCGCCGCCGTCACCGCCGCCGCCGTTCCATGCCCCCAATGCCGTGACTTGTTCAGAACATCGACCCCTAGACATGCTCGCGTAGTGACAACCATGATGACGGGAGCAAGAGCCCGAGATGGTTCAAAGGAGCCACCTCGACACTAAGCGCCTGTGCGGGGGCAGCAATGGATTGTGCTCAACAGCGCTCCCGCTCGATACTTCCTCATGTTCTACTCGGGACCCGGGCTCTTGCCCGCCGCCGAAAGCCAGCTTTCCCGCACAATTGATGTTCCCGCCCGATTAGTTCCTTGTTTTTCCTCACGACCAGCGCTCACGCCTCGGCGCAGCAAGCGGCCCCCCTCCCCCGCAAACCACGACAACGCAACACGTACCGCGCCTAATACGTCCGTGCCAGTACGTCGCGCGTTGGCCCAGCGTATCGGCCCACGTGTTGAGTTCCGCATCGATGCGATGCGTGTTGCGCGCTGCGCATCGGGGCAGCTGAGAGGTTCATTCCCGTCGTGGCGGAGCCGCCCGGGGGGTGGGCCCCCCCGTGCGCAGACACGCTGCGCTGCCTGGCTCGGGCCGGCGGCGGGCGAGGGGGCCAGGCGCCGCGGGAGCGGGCGCGGCCCGCCGGTTCCGGAGCCTGTCCGTGGGGGTCCGCCGGGCCGCCGCGCGGGCGGTCCTGTCGGGGCCCAGGATCGGCTGCGCGCAAGAGTGGCCCTTCGCCGTTCGCCGGCGTGGCCTGTGGTGCGGGCGCACCGAGGCCCCCTCGATCGCTGAGCGCGGAGCGTTAGCGGCTGCCTGCGCGCCTGGAGTTGGCCACCCTGCGCCCCCGTATTCCGCGCACCAGGGGTCGCTCTTGCCTCGGGTCACTCTTGCGTGTAGCCGCCAAGAAGCGGGGGTCAGTCCGAGCGCCAGGTTTCGCAGGCAGAGCCAGGACCGCATCGACCCGGGCTTGGGCGGCAGGCTCCTGCAGGATTGCGCAGGATCCTGCAAGGCCCGACCGGCCTAGGCCTGGGCTGACCCGCAGTAGCAGATCCTCGATGTTGATGAGACGCGCGGGGCGTCCCCTGGCTGAGGGCGCTCTGTCTGCCGCGCGCGCTCGCCGAACTGGGGGGGGCTGCATTTGCGTCTTGCCCGCGTGCGCTTTCTGTTTCTCCTCTTCCTCTCCCTCCTCTTCCTCTCCCTCCACCCTCCCTCTTCCTCTCCTTCCTCCCCCCCCATCCTCCTCTTCCTCCTCCTCTCCCTGCTTCTCCTCCTCTCCCCCCTCTTCCTCTCCCTCCTCCTCACCCTTCTCCTCCCCCGCTCACTTCCTCAGGCCAGCGCGCGTGCGCCCAACGGTGGGGGAGGGTGCCTCACAACGTACAGCCGCGTGCTAGTCTCCTCCGCCTCCCTGCTCTATCCTGCTCCCTACTTTCCCCCTTTCCCTCGCCATCTTGCTCACTCTCACTGGACAGTGCTCGTTCGCGGAGCCTGTTCCCCTTTTGTAGGGGAGCGGTGCCACCTGCAGCACAACAGCGAGTATGATTTTGGCCCAGTGCACTTGTTGGATGCTGGCGTCGGCTTATATTGCAAGTTCGTTTTTTCTCGCGTGCGCGATTATGACCGTTGGGTTGTGGTTGCCGTTGCTTCCCACTTTCGCGCGCGTTTCGCGCATCCCTCCTTCCCTGCCTCGTTCCTCTCTCTCTCTCTCTCTTCCTTTCGTTTACCTCCCCGCGCAGGGGCGCGAGGTTAACAACTGTGCCGCGCGACCTTCCCGATGTTTGGGTCAGGGGCAGTTACCAGCAGGCTCGTGGGCGTTTTCATTGCGTTATTGGAGGATCTGTGGTGTCTCACGACGGGAGGTCGTTCGCTACGGTTGGCTCCCAAGGGCTTTCACCCGGCCTCGAGACCGCCCAGAAAAGTGTCAGGATGAAAGGCCGGTCCCCAAGAAGGGGTCGAGACGGGGGTCCACGCCATGAGAAAATCACGACGTCGGTGGTTAGGGAACGTCGACACCCTGAGATCTCGACGCTTTTCCACGGGGCCGGCTTTTTATCTTGAGTCGTTCCTTGACGATCCCGCAGCGTCGTTCGAGAGCAATTGGAGGCCGAAGCGGCAACAGCATTTGCCATCTCTGCTTTTTTTTACGACACAGGGGGGGAGGTTGGCTTGTCCGACGTCGCCGCCGTTGCTGCCGCCGCAGCTGTTGTTGTCGCGCCGCCCCCGCTGGCGCCGATGCCGTCGACGCCGTCGCGGCCGTCGTTGTCGTTGCCGTCGCGGCCGCCGCCGCGGTCGTCGTCGTCGTCGTCGTCGCCGCCGTCGCTGCCGTCGCCGTCGCTGCCGTCGACGCCGTTTTCGCCGTCGTCGTCGTCGACGTCGCCGTTGCCGCTGCCGAGGGGGAGGAGGAGGAGGAGGAGGAGGAGGAGGAGGAGGAGGAGGAGGAGGAGGAGGAGGAGGAGGAGGAGGAGGAGGAGGAGGAGGGGGGGAGGAGGAGGAGGAGGAGGGGGAGGGGGAGGGGGAGGAGGAGGAGGAGGAGGAGGAGCCGCCGCCGCCGCCGTCGTCGTCGTCGTCGTCGTCGTCGCCGCCGCGGCCGCCGCTGCCGCCCGCAGCGCGGCGGCAGGCCCAGGGCGGCCGGGGCCAAGCCCGCCACGGAGGCGGCCGGCTGGCGGGGTCCGCGAGGCCGCTCGGGCAAGGTGGCGCTGCCCTGGAGGGCGTTGGCGCGGTGAAGAGGCCCTCGGTGAGGGAACGAATGGTTGGTGTATGTGTTTATATCGTATCCGCTCTGGCCCTGCGCGCCTGGCTGCTGCTGCCCCCCCCCGGCTGCTTATCGTCGAACTCTTCGGCGTCTGAGCGTCCTTTCTTCCACTCGGCCGCCCCCCCCCCCTCTTTGCTTGCCGGCCAATTCGCTAGTCAGTGCCCCTTTCTAGCTTCTCGCTGGAGGGAGTTCGCCGCCTCGCCGCCGACGAAACATATGAGTTGGTATCAGGTATAACTATGAAGAAAACATATCTTTACATATACATATATATATATACATATATATATATATATATATTGATATATGTGCCCTGGCGCCCCACGCATCCCAAGCCCCTTCGGTTCTTCAGGAAGTCACGACGAGCATTTTTGGTTGAAATGTTCTGACCCTGGGGGGCCTCGCTGGGTCCTCGCAGAAAGAGACGGCTCAGGATGAAGAACCGGTCCTGAGGAATTGGTCGAGACATCGGGGGGTCCACGTCATGGACAATTCATGATGTCAGGGCAGGGGTCAGGGATTTCTGAGGAGGAAAAATATACCGATGCCGCTGCTCGTCCTTGAGAGACCTCGCCGCCATCGCTTGATGTTTCTCAGCAGTCTGGTCAGAGCGCGCCCAGGAAATATCCGCGGAGCAGCGGTGGGGTCTACTCTGCGTCGTAGTTGGCCCACAGTGCTCATGGATGGTGGCAGTTGAAGAGCCGCCGTTCGGCGTGCAAGCTGCAAGGGATGCGCGCGTTGCACACTTCAAAGGACAGAGATGGGAGGACGAGGAGTGGGCCCCGGGCCTCGCAGAAGAAGGTGATGGGAAGGAAGGGCAGGAAACGAAAAAAGGGGAGGCTTAGAAGCAAACGCGGCAACATTAGGGAGACACTGAAAAAGGAATCGGGTCACAACGAGGGAGGAGGGAGGAGAAAGGAGGGTGACGATTTTCTCCAGCAGCCTTCTGATGAGCAGCGATGTCGCCGCCGTGTCGCACTGGCGCCCTGAATGATGAGCTGTTCACAACTCGTACTGGAAGCGAGCGAGGCCCCCCCACTCCTACAATAGGGATAGCGAGGTCTACGGTGGAGACCCATGCCAAGAAACACCCTGGGCCCAGCTTGCCTCCAGGGTGCCCTGGGTTTCTTGGGTTTCGATGGTTTTGCTGTGGGAGGCGCGATGTTCCCGCATGAGAAGTCAGTGGACGTCCTTGGGTCTCAGGGCTGGGTTTCTTGCGGTCGAGCCCCCACTGTAATCTGAGTCCGCGGCGGCGCGTCGCTCCGCTGGATTCCTTCCGTAGCCTTCGAAAGTGGCGACAGATTCGCAGTTCGCAGCGTCTCCCCCAGGGAGGGCGAGGTGCCCCCCCCCCCCCCCCAACGATGCCGAGGTCTAGTCTGGGTCCGCGGCGGGGCGCCACTCCGCTGGATCCCGCGGCAACCTTCGACAGTGACAGCGGTTTCGCCTTTCGCACCCCGCAGTGATGGCGAGGTCCAAAACACATGGTTCATTTTTAATTCTTCGAAAGTTCTTTGATTTTCGGGGGGGCTAAGATCCTTTCATTTCTAATTGTTCTATCCTGGGCCTCTTCCTGGCCAATAGGGGGCCAGGAACAATTAGAAACGAGCACAATTTGAAATGATCACGATTAGAAATGAACGACGTGTATATGTCCGCGGCGGGGCGTCATCCCGCGGGACCATCCATATCAGCCTTCGGAAACGGCGACGTTTTCGCAGGTCGCCACCCCCAAGGGATGGCGAGAAGAGAAGGGCGGCGGGAAGAGGAGATGCGGCCGCGAGGCTCCATTCAAAACGAGAACCCCACGCAGGAGAGTTGGGAAATGTATCCAGGCCACGAACGTGTTTCCAGGAGTTCCAAGTGCGGTCGCCGATGCATCGACGATGCGTTTCGACATGGGGCCCGAGTTTCTTCGCGCCAGTGGCGACGACGTCGCCGACATCGACGATGCGTCGCCGGTGCATCGGCGATGCATCGGTCATGCGGCGCGACCTTCCAACTCCAGCTATTCGGAGCCCATCTGGGTGGCATCTAGTGTCGGACCAATCAAAGACGAGGATGCCCACCGTTTTCGGGCTTTGGAGGGCCTCGCCAGGCCGCGGGACAGGAAAACCACGATTCTGAATGAGAAGCCTGCCCTGCGGAAAGGGTCAGGCTTTCTGGAGACCCTGAATCTGAAAACGCCATATATCGGATCTTTGGGGAGGCGACTTCTCATAGCAAGATCCGATGTAGTGCTTGGCGGCGGTCAAAGGTATGGAGGAGTATCAGGAGTATTTGTTAGGTGCAAGTATACCTTGCATCCTGACTCCGGCAGGCAGGACGGAAAATAAGGCAAAGTCCGGCATTCGCCATTCACTCAAGAAACACGTGCACTATAGCCCGTGCTGTCGTAATGAAACCCCCACCAGGGTGCCATGTTTCACCATATTTGATCAGCGTGACTCCCCCCCGCCCGAGTGATTTACCGACAATTCGCGCAACGCGGCAAGTGATTCGTAAGTGATTTGATTGGTGACCCCCGCACGGGGCGACTCGCGCCTTCCAGAGCAGCGCCTGGCAATCCGTGGTCGCCGCTTTTTCGCTCCACTTGCAGAACCTGAGGACAGGGTGTCGGCGTGCCACGAGGCCAGAAACCCTAAGCAGACTCCTTAGCTCATGCCTTTTTCCTTGTCGCCCTGAAGACAACGCAGGCGGATCACAAAGCAAGGCTGCCCAGCTTCGGCGCCTGCCACTTCAGCTCAGACTCATATAGTATGAGTGGGGCGTAAGCGGCAGATGCCAACACTACATGGCACTCAGCGCAACTCACGCGAAGGAGGAAACTTCAGCTCGCTGAGCAAGCAGAGGGGTCGTGAAGTAGCTTCCTCAACCAGCCTGCCACCATTGACCACGTGCGCGACCTCGTGCATGCGCTGCGGCATCTGCCTGCGCAAGCCATCGACGTCGTCTTGGGCGTTGACCCACGTGGCCGCCGCCTGGAGTCGCCCTTCGGACTTCTCCTCGGTTTAAGTCCACGCCCCTGCAGGCAGGGTAAGCCGCATCTTCTCCCTCACCCACGACGCGGCAGTCTCGTATGGCCAGAGGTTTCTAGAGTGACCTGGAAGGACACTGGCGTTGTCACCGTGGAAAGCCTTGAACTGATACTTGCGCAAACCCTGCTTGAACTCATGCGTGATGTTCCCGCCTTGATTCCTGGCCAAGGTTAACGAGCTTGATGCCTGGCTGACAGGCCTGGGACCGCGCGTTCATGGACGACCTGAGTTCGCGAACGAAGGCGGACATGCAATTGATACGCGTGCCAGCAGTTTACCCCCCGCGAGGACAGGCATCCAGTGGACCCGCGTGCATTCCTTCCAGGCGAGCACGAAGTCCTTCTTGCTGCCGCCCATGTTCACGGTCACGTGCTTCTTCACAATCACGATCACAGCCGAGAATCGAATCACGACTACAACCACAACCATTGATCCTTATTGCAATCCTCGGCGCAAGATACAAATACTCTCGCAGCCATGACTACGATTACCATAACACTCGCGACTACAATGACGATCACAAGTACGAGTCCAACCGCGACTGCAATCGCTACTGACTACGTGGGTAGCAGACTTGCAGGGAACGGCATGCCAGGGTGGCATCAGGGGGGCACGGTGGAAATTGTAGGGATGGCACGGCCAGACGACTGGCAGAAGGGCATGACAAGTCACACGGAGGCCGAAGGCCGGTAGTGGCGGCATGGCACCGCAGAGGCTGCACCGATGAGTCAGCAGCGCCGGCCAGCACGTCGGGCGGCCAGGAAGTCGGTGGTGAACCAGCCGCGACCAGGGGAGCGGCCGGCCCGAGGGCCCGCGAGGACGGCCACGCCCACGGCCCAGGACTCCACGGCGGAGCGGGCACGCAAAAGACAAGGAACAGAGACAGGAGGAGAAGGGCGGAACACGCGAAGGAGGGCAGTGCGAGCGCACCCAGGAGCTCGCCGAGGCAAGCAGGCCGAGGTGGAAGGAGGCAGTCCGGAACTGAGGCGTGCGCAGGGCAGAGCACCCCGAGCAATGCGGCGAGTCCGTTCGCCACATCCTGGACGCGCGAACGGGGCCCGCGGGGAGGCCAGGCCGCAGGGCCAGGGGCCGCAGAAGCCCTCCAAGTGGGGCCGCCAGGGCCCCACGAGAGGGGCTCCGGCGCCAACGGGAAGTGATCCGAAAGTGTCCTCTCGGGCATAGGATGCCAAGCGCCCTGTGCTAAAAGCGCTGTCGAAGGCAAGGCTCCGACAGTGCACGGGGCGCAGGGCGCTTCCAGGGGGCTGGTTCGCCGCCGCGGGGATTCCCGCGCCAGGCGGGGCCAGCGTCGGCGGGGCGCTCCTCCGCGCAAACCGATTCAGTGAGGAAGTCCACGAACTGTTTCTTTTCAGCGAGCGAGTAGAGCGAGGGCGCGGGCAGGTTAGTCGCTGGCATGTGCTGTCCAACTCTGAGGCGGGGAAGCGGCCGCAGCCTGCCCGACGCAGTCGCTCGATCTGATGCGGCGGCGCCCCGGCACTGCAGGGAAATCTTGTTAGCCATTTGCCGATGTATACCGGTATGCGGCTTCGTCGTTGGCAAGGGGTCTTGCTGCGGGCCCATCGGGGTCGGGGCGAAGCCATGCGGGTGGAGCCCCTGGGGTGTCAGGGAAAGCAGGAGGAGAAGGAGGCGCCGGCGGGGGGCCTCCCCCGCCACTGCGGCGGCGGGAGTTGGGCGGCGCTGGAGGCCGCCACCCGCGCGGGAAGGAGGGCGGGCAGGCGGGGGCCGGGAGGACGCAGGCGGTGCAGGCGGAGGGGGCAGACGAGCCGGGGGCGCGGGCCCCGGCTCGCACTTGGGGGCCGGCGGCCAGGGCGCGCCGGCTGGGGCGCGCGGGGCGCGAGCCAGCGGGCGGGGCCCTGGAGGCTCCCGCGATGGCAGGGCGAGAGGAAGCATCGGCAGCCTCGCACGAGGCGCTCACAGACCGCCCCAGGATGCGCCGCGTCACTGTCGCCGCGCCGGGGGAGGCGCGGGCTCGACGGCGATATTGTCCCGCGGTCGAGCACAGTACCGAGGCCGATGTCGGACGACGGCATTCGCCCAGCGCGAGCGGCTGCATCTCGGCCAAAACACAGACGACACCACCCCACCTACGGCCCTCCACGTTGCGCTACGGCCCATCGGGGGCCGTAGCCTATACCATGCAACGTAATCTACGCCTGACGTCCTGGTATACGCTACGGCCCGTGGGGCCGTAGGCGGGGTGGTGCCGAATGTTTTCTGGCCCAGCATCTCCGCGAAAAGGAAGTGGCCTGCTGCGAGGAGGCGATCGCCAGCGCTGACACCCATCATGGCGAAGGTTAAAAATCGGGCATGTCCCTCTACAGAAGGCAAATTCAAAAAGGGTCCAGAAATGATATGGGGACGACTTTTCGATTATTCTTCCGCATTTTTGTATATGTTTGGAGTACTTTTGCTTATTTCGTCCAAAATCCGCCTGTAGAGGGACATTCCCGACCTAAGGCTAAGGCGGCGACTCCGAAAGGCGCGTCACGCACGCGGAGCACCCGGGCCACTGCGCACGCGCGGCGCTCTTTCTGGGCGGCCTTCTCTGCCTGTCAGCGGTCCAGCCTGTGCAAGTGACTCTTGCCTCGAAGCCGCCGCAGTAAAAAGGGGCCGCTTGCCAGCGCGCCCGGCACGTTGCAACGCCAGATCGCGGCGGCCCATCCCTTCAGAGCGCGACGCGTTGACCATGGCATCCCTCGCAGTGAGACCAAGCCCAGAGATCCACGCGTAGAGTCGGCGCGTCGGTACTGCGTGAGCGGTGCATGCTCGCCCCTCGGTCCCACTGCGCAAGTCTGCCTGGCCCCCCACTCACCGTCGGCCCGCTGGCGCTGCGTCTCCCGGAAACGAGCTGCCGCGCAGTGACCCGCGCAAGCAACGCTCAAGTCGCACTAGCTCTCGGCCAGAAAGACAAAAGGAAAAACAAGCAAACAAACAAACGCTGGCCCGACAACGCGGGCAGACAGCAGCGGCGCAAGCTCGAGTACGCAGGCGCACCTGCCATAGTGTCTGCGCGTGGGAATCTCGGGCCAAGAAGAGCAACTGTGTGTGGTAACATGTATCAGGGCCAAATGCTGGGCCGATTTGCACCCCCCTTGCCCGGTCCTTTACAGAGGCTGAAAGGCGAGCGGAAGCAAGTGAGAAGGCATCCTGATGTTCCAGATGGTAGCGAGGGTTCTTCAAGAAATTCACGGGTAAAGCATGCGCAGACCCGATGCAAGTGCTCAGGAGAGTTCGTTTTCCTTCAGAGGTGTGTACCGCCGTAACGCAACGGGATCATGCCAAGTTTGATCAACCTGGCGCAATCCCACTCTGGGTTTCTATATAGATGTTGCAGGCTACGCCACGTCCCACAAACCAATTTCAGATGCGCAGTTTGGTGCGTGTCAACCCGGATTCGGGCCTGCTGTAAGGGAATATTGGAAGAGGCAACGGTTTTTTTCTGCGCAGTCGGATTTGAGCCTGCCTCGATCCCTCCAATAGTCCCCACACGGCAAGCCTAGAATTTTGCACCTGGTTTCCGTCCTGCCCGGGGGTTCCAAATATGCCATTCAAAGGTGCAATCTTATCCCGCCCCAGCCCTCTGAAATTTAGTTGGGGGAGCAGGAGGGGAAGTGCCAGGGTGTCCGCGGTTCGGTTCGTCCATTGCTGTGTCGTTGTTGCGTCGCTGCGCCCTTCGAGGCTGATTGCGGCATGTCGGCTCCAGGCGGTTTCGTTCCCGCTGTCGGTACGGTCGGGTTTCGGCTGTGCTGCCGAATCAATTACGGTTTCTTGGGCCATGAGGGCTCGCGCGAGCCTTGGGGCACCTCAGGGCCTCATCGGGGAGGCCAAAAAGACGACGGATGCGTTTTTAGGCTACTTGTATTGAGCAAAAGTGCTTACCGTACGACAGGTTCGCGTCGTGTCGACGCGTCGACGCGGTGTCGACCCCCGCGCGCGTTTTCAATCGGCTTTCCAGGTTGGACGCCGCCAGTGGCCCAGGAGCGGCCCAGATGCAACGATCTGGCGGGTGAAACGCCGCCGACCGTTCAGGGTTGGTCGATCCACGCACTGTCAGAAACCAAGGCCGGGGTTGTCAGCACACATACCTGCCGCATGCATTTGGTATCCTTGCACCAGCAACCTACCATCGTTTTCGCTAGCTTTTGGCGTCCTGGGGGGGAGGCCATCGTCTCCATAGGCCTGGATTTGCTTCGGGGTCCTGGCCACAGAGCGCACCCCCTGAGAGGCCTTAAGCATAGTTACCACCACAGCATCAGACATATGTTGTACCCTCAGGTCCGGCAGGCTCCTCAACGTCGACCTCGTCAGCCTCGAGGAGCCACATGTAGAGAAGATGGATCTCGAGAGCGAGAGAATCGGGGGCGACGATAGGGGGGATAGGCATAGGGGGGATGCATCGACCCCCCAATCGCCCATTGATCGCCGATAGGGGCCCGACAGCTCCAACCTGCACAGGAAGGTGCGGATTCACTAACGGGGGCCTATCGCCGATCTATCGGCGATGTATCGCCGATTCCAGGTCGATGCGTCCCCTCCTATGCCAGTTCCCCCCTCTCGTTGCCCCTCAGAGAAGGGGGGCTTTCCGGCTGTTCAAGGTCTCTCGGCCTCCTTGTGCCGCTCTCTGGGACCCTGGACTGTCAACGCGTTTTGCTCGGCAGCGTCCGAGCGAACCCGTCGCGTCCGAGGCGAGCGTGGGGATGCCAGGGCAATGTCATTAGGCACAGAAGCAAATCAGAAGAGCAAGAGGTCATGATAATGATACGTTCCAAGATTTCCCAGGTGTCCAGGACCTTCCCTTATTCCCTAGTGTTCCGCACCGCGGGCTGCGCCGCCAGAGGCTCTTGAAAATCCAGGAGCGTCTCCTGAGCCTATCCGATCATGACATCACTCTCGCCCCAGTTGCGCCCGAGGCCCGCGTGGGGATGCCACGGCAACTCCATGAGGCACGGGAACCAAGGGAGCGACGGGAGGGACGGAGGACGAGGCCGCGGGCGGCGGGAGCACGCCCAGAGCGCGCAGACCAGTGCGTACTTGCCTGTGCGGACTCTCAGAGGACATCTCGGGATGAGGAGCTGCTCCCGGGAGAGGCGTCGCAATCCGAGCCCTGCCCTGGCCGGTCAGCGACTCAGGCAACTCGATGGGCGGCGGGGTCAGGGTGCGGAACTCGCCGAGCACGCGGCGAGATCCGAGCCCTAACCCCAGCCTCCCATCGACTCGGGGACGGCGGTGGCTGGTTGGGGCAGGGCAGGGTTCAGATGTCGCCAGCTGCTGGGAGAGGTCCTGGGGCCCAGGACCAGTCTCTCCCAGGACCCCTTTTCAGGGTCCACTGCGATCGGATCGATCCAATTCGTTACCGATTCTGGTCCCACACGATTCGATTCCGATATTCTGACAGCCCGATGCGCACCGATGTGTCCATGGCGTTGCTGTGCATGCTTGTGCGGCCGCCCCGATCCGATTCCGACTCTGTGCCGGTTTGACAGGATCCGAGCTTCGTCCCGATCCAACCCGATTTCCCGATTTAATGATGACGACTCTTGTCTCTCCCTCGCGGCTGCCAATCGTCGAAGGAAACAAATCACAATGGCACAGACTTCCAGAGGTCCGTGCGATTTCCTTTGATCGGCGCCAAACCTCCTGGGGGCACCTCTGGCGCCGCCCTTTGACGCGCCCCGCGCGCCAGGGAGGGGGGCCCGGTGCAGATCTAAGGAATCTGCGCGGGCCTCCGAAAGTGTGTGAGGCGTTCCAGAAACGCGCTCGCTTTCGAGGATCGAAGGAGTTGGCGTCTCTTCCTCGTCGGAAGTCGGCGGAAGGCTGGCGGAAGGCTGGCGGAAGTATACATCTGCCTCCCAAGAGAATGGCAAGGGTTTTTGTTGTGCATGGCTTCTGGAATGTATTGTATGCCGACTGATTTATTGTTCAATGTTGGATTGGGTCGGACGGGTGGGGGGGAAAGGCAGGGGGGGATACAAACATTTGATGCGTGCAGCTGGTTTCGGCCCCGCTGGCGGGCGCCTTCGGCTCTGGGAGACGCCGCAGCAATCGGCTACTTGAGAGGCTGTTTCTCTTCAGTCGGAGAAGAGACGACTGCACAAACATAACAGCTTCTGGAGTTCCGCATGGATTTCTTGGATCGACGCTGAGCCCCCCTGGCGGCGCCACGAGCGCCGCCCCTGGCGCAATCCGCGCGCCAGGGACGGGGTCCAGTGTCGAATCCTAGAAACCCGCGCGGTCTTTCGAAAGGGTTTTGTTTAATCTTTTCTGTTGTGCTCCTCTACTGAAAACGCCTGCGGCGAGTCACCGCCGCTCCCTACCTTTTCAGGTAACACCTATGCGGCCGAACGTTGCGACCAGAGCTCGGCCAAGCTATCGGACTATGTGTTCCCCTAGCCGTTGTGGAGACCCTTCTGGGAACACGTGGGGGAGGCAGAAGCAGGGGAGAGGGAGGAACAAGGAAGAGCAGCAGGCCTCTTGGGAGTCTCTTGGCGCACTCTTTCATTCTCCTGGGAGCTTCCTGGGGGCCTCTGGGCGGCTTCTTGGGGGCGTCCTGGGGCCTCTTGGGGTCCTTTGGAGGCTCCTTGGGAGGACCGTTGGCCGCCTGCGGGCGTTCCTGGCTTGTCGGACGCCGTCGGAAACCCTCCTGGGGGCCTCTCTGGGCCAAATTGGGGTCCTCCTGGGGCGCTTTAAATGCATTGTTTTTCTCCGGATCAAGGCTAAACGTACGGTGGCTGCGACGCACGCCGCGCGATTCAAATTGCTTACGGTTCGGGTGCACGTTGCGTCGATGCTTCCCCTCACCATGCACTGCTAACTACGACTCTGGTTGCTACATGCCTGCTTCGCAGGCATGTAGCAACCAATTCAAAAACCAGTCTCCTAGCACTGGCGCGCCTGCGGGTGTGATCTTGGGCGTTTTGGAGGCGTCTTGGGCCAGCCCTCTTCGGGCCATCTTAGGGGCCTCTTGGGCCGTCATGGGACCATCTTGGAGGTCTCCTGGGAGCTCTTGGGGCGAGCTTTGGGGCCTGTTGGGCCGCCTTGGGCCGTCGGACAGCCAACAATACGCAAATGCCCAAATCCTGGAAGAAGATGTCGGAAGGACGCAATCCTTCCTGGAGGACTTCGTGGAGGCCTCTTCGACCCTCTTGGAGGTACATTGGGGGCCTCTTAGGCCATCTTCAGACCATCTTGGGCCGTCTTGGGTGCATCTTGGTGCATCCTGGGATCATCTTAGGTTCGCTTCGGGACAACTTGGCCGTCTAGGAGGCCATCTTAGCCGTCTTGGAGGCCATCTTGTGGTCATCTTTGGGGAAGAACAGATGGACTGCACGTTTTCTGGGTGGCCAGCTCCGGCCCACTAGGAGTTCCTCAGAAAACAATCAATTTTTGTTTCAGAGGTTTAGCACGCCTGGCACCACTGTGATGAATCACCCAGGGGCGGCGGATGACAGAAAGCAAGCTTAAAGTCGCGATCCGCTAGCCGGGAGACAGCAAGGGAGAGTGTGAGGGGGGGTGGCTTTGGAGGGCCCAGATCTAATCGCCCAATGTTCGGTCATGTTCGGCCCTAGACGGCCCAAGTCAGTCCCAAGAGCGCGTCAGAGGTCCCCGAGACAGCCCAACACAGCCTCAAAGGCGCCCAACCTACCTCCACGACGGCCTCAGGGAGGCCCAAGAGGGCCCCAAGACTGCCCGAGAGCACTCAAAGAGGGCCCCAGACGGCCTCAAGACGGCAAAATATGCCCTCGAGACGCTCCACGAGGCCTCCAAAATCACGCCCTAGAGGCAAACATCGTCTCCATGGATTTGTTGCATATCTGCTTGTTTGGCCTTCATAGCATCCACGACGGCCCAAGAGAGCCTCGGGATCACCCCAGAGCGGCTCAAGTGGCCCCCAAGACGACCCCAAGACGGCCCAAAGATGGCCCAAGAGGGTTCGAAGACGGCCCAAGAGGGCCCCACGACGGCCCAAGAGAGGCCCCTGAAGGCTCCAAAAGATTCCCAAGAGAGTCCCAAGAGGGCCACAGGAGGGGCCTCACATGGCCCCGAGAAGGCCCCAAGATGGCCCAAGTCCCCCAGGACGGTCCAAGAGGGCCCGAGGACGACCCAAAAGGGCTCCAAAACGGCCAAAAGAACCCCCAAGAAGGCTTGGAGGGACCATAGCCGTACTCATTGATTGTCGTAATGTTTGTTGGCTGTTACGTGGGTAAGGAGTCGTTGGGTAAGGAACCCAGGGTCTGGGAGCCGGTGGAACTCAAATGGTGGATTGACCATGGATACCACCGCCGCCATCATCAGATAAGGAAACCTCCAGGATCCGAAGCCTCCTGGGCACATTCCTTGACCAACGCCCCCACCATAGTTTGCTGTATGACCTGCCAACGTCTCAACACCAAGAGGCTCTAAGACACTGAGCCCGCGGTCTCGCGTCCTTACAGGGTACGAGCGCGTTCCGTCCCCGTGCGAAGTAGGTCGAATGGCCTTCGGCCCATCCCGCAACCGTGCCTGGGTTGTGGGTCTGAGGCCTCCTGGACGGTCGTTGGGATCTCGTCGAGGTCCCTCGGGGGCCTCCTGGAGGCTGGTTTGATGCCTCGGGGGGGGGCTGTTCTGGGGCCTCTTGGAGTCTATTTTGGGTCTCTTGGGGGCTTCTTGCGGCCTCGTGGGGGGCCTCTGGGGGGCTTCTTGGGGCCTCTTGAGGGCATCTTAGGGCCTCCTGGGCGCTTCTTGGAGCGGAAGGCTCGGATTTTCGGTTCGTGTTCCCCCTTTTGGGCCCCTCTTGGGATTGTGTTGGGGCCATCTTGGCCCATCTTGGGTGCCTCTTGGGCCGTCTTGGGGCCCTCTTGGGCTGTCTTGGGGCCCTCTTGGGGGCCCCTGGGATCGTCTTGGGGCGGTCTGGGGAGCCTCTTGGGGCGTCTTGGAGCGTCCCAAGCTAGAATGGTGAGACAATCCAATACATGGAAGCACTTAAGGACAATCAATGATCTTGGCCTCGTGTGATGGCTCTTTGGGCTCTCCGGGAGCGTTTCGTTGGCGGCTTGAGCCGTCTCGCGCCGTCGTCGTTAGCGTCCGTCGCCTGTTCGTCGCCCGTCTGTCGGCGTCGGCGTCGGCGTCGGCGTCGGCGTCGGCGGCGTCGTCGTCGTCGGCGTCGGCGGCGTCGTCGTCGGCGGCGTCGTCGTCGTCGGCGTCGGCGTCAGCGTCGCCGTCGGCGTCGCCGGCGTCGTCGTCGTCGGCGTTGTCGGCGTCGGCGTCGGCGTCGGCGGCGTCGTCGTCGTCGGCGGCGTCACTGCGTCGTCGTCGTCGTCGGCGTCGGCGTCGTCGTCG